AAGCATCATGGAAGCTGTAAAAAACATCTGGATATCTACCTTTTGGGCCCCCCTGATTTAGGAAATAGCAGAGTAGTTAAACACAACTCTAAGTATCAAGAGGGAATTATATAATACAATTGAGACAGTAAGAGCAGGAAACAAAACCATGTAAAAGCATCAAGCTACCTAATCTCCCTAATTCTTCAGCTTAATTATTCACTCTGCATTATGTATCCTCCTTGCACCTCTTGTTTGCTCCACTGTGCTTTTTTTTCTCATTCCATCCTTCCTTCTTATCCTCATTCTCAGCCAGGTCTCCGCTTTACAGATTTAATTTGTTGCACATCAATGTTTTTTTTTTTTTTAAAGATTAATGTTTGTCATTCATGACTATTAATTATTATTCTTTATCATCCACATTATTTACATAGTTACATAGGCGGAAAAGAGACATACGTTAATCAAGTTCAGCCTTTCTCACATCTGTTTTGCTGTTGATCCAAAAGAAGGCATAAAAGCCAGTTTGAAATGCTTTCCATTAGTTCTCAGTAGAATCTTATATTTCTACATGTCTGATTGTGATTCTTTGTTAAACTAATTTGCATATGCCCACCCATAATCCTTTGCAGTAGTAACATCGCTGCAAATTTGTGATTTATGTCGGAAAAACAAGTCTTATGGCTTGACTGGTGTGCAGATTTTTGTTTAACATTGTTTTAACTATCCACAGACTTCAGGTGGAAGGAGTTTTCAATCACAATTTTTTCCCCACTATAACCTTTTTAGTTTTTGCTTCCCGATAGATATATATTGATTGATCGGTCATCACTCATCATGACATGTACAATTCGCTTCGGTCCGAATTCAGCCGAATTTTGGGTAATTCGGACATTCGGATGCTTCTGAATGGCTGAAGTGCCGAAGGGACGAAATTACCGAATTTCTGAAGTGTAGTAGTGTGGAATTGCTGAAGTGCCGAATTGGCTGAAGTTCCGAGGTGTCAAAGTTCTGAAATTCTGAACTAATATACTTACCGAGTGAAAGAAGAAGAATGTTACACTGTATACAATTTCAAATAAAAAGTATACAAACATAGCCAGGAATCAGCTGTAAGCATTTGCAACACTTACAACAATCAAGTAACATACATTCATATAAAATGTAAGTTACTTAGCCAGTCATGTAATGACAGGAATGAATAAGTAGATAACTCCCTAATGACCACGGTATTAGGGAGCTATCTACTAAAAGGCTGAAAGACCTAAACTGGTCTTTCAGCCAAATTTACTAATACTAAGTAAAAATTACTTAGTATTAGTAAATTATGCCCCTACTCGCTATATTGTGAGTAGGGGCATGTCTGTTAAACAGTGAGCAGCCTGTGACCCCTGGCCCCCACCCCTGAACGGCGGGTGGGGGCCCTAACGTAAAAAAAAAGGGGGGAGGACCTATTGTCCTCCCCACTGGCCCCCACCCCTGAGTGGTGGGTGGGGACCCTAAATACAAATTGGGGGGGGGAACATAATGCCCTCTCCCCTGGCCCCCACCCCTGAGCGGTGGGTGGGGGCCCTAAATTAGAATAAGGGGAACCTAATGTCATCCCCCCTGGCCCCCACACCTGAACTGTGGGTGGGGGCCCTACACAAAAATAAGGGGGGGATCTAATGTCCTCCCCCCTGGACCTCACCCCTGAGTGGTGGGTGGGGGCCCTAAACAAGAATAAGGGGGGACCTAATGTCCTCCCTCCTGGCCCCGACCCCTGAGCTGTGGGTGGGGGCCCTAAATACAAATTGGGGGGGACCTAATGTCCTCCCCCCTGGCCCCCACCCCTGAGCAGTGGATGTGGGCCCTAAACTAGAATAAGGGGAGGACCTAATGTCCTCCCCCTGGCCCCCACCCCTGAGCAGTGGGTGGGGGCCCTAAATACAAATGAAACCCCCCTCCCCCAGGTGACTAGGGGTAACGCCACGTGAGTTAACCGCCTATGTCCAAGATCTATTCCGGGCCTATATACCAGCCCTCACAGATACAGACGTATTATTAGACTGCACACACCGTCTGCCCAGACCTAGACATTTAGGTCACACTGTCCCCAGGGATGTTATTACTAAACTCCACTACTACACCATTAAGGACAAAATCATGCAGGCATCAAGGAGCCAAATACCATCACCAGGCCCATTTGAGCACATCAAGCTTTTTGTAGATTTATCCTCCGCTACTATGTCCAAACGGAAAACCTTTGCTCCATCACAGCAGAACTGCGGTCAGCCAACATACCCTACAAATGGGGCTTTCCAACCAAACTGCTGGTGAAGAGAAACGGCGCAGATAAAACCATCCTCTCCCCTGATGACGGCAAAAAGCTACTCTTAGAATAGAATATACCAGTTCAAGCCATGGAAAAACCTCCACCAAATGTACGCTCTCCTATCAAACTTAACAGAGACTGGTCCAAGATCATCCACATCAGGCACTCCAAGGCACCCTGAATATTGAGTGCTCGGTAACTGCTCTTTTCACTACCAACTAAGCGGAATTATGATGGTTTGCTCTCCTCTCTCTCTTTCACCTTTCTCTTTACACTTATTGTCATTGTGTTTTTTCTTTTTTCCTTATTTGATGTGATTTAGAGAGGGGGCATAGCTAGTCTGCCATGTATGGTAATTGATGCCGACTTACGTATGGGTTGTTTATAAAATGTCAGGAATGACACCACGGTCAGGGACTACTGTCCCATATATGC